TTAAAACTAATAATTAAGGATACTGTTTCCTCTTTTGCTTGTTTTTGGTCACTTCATTCATTTTCCCTTTTAAAGAGATTGCAGGGGGGAAAGTATTCAGTTTTGGCAATCTTAACATTTGCTTTCTTGGTGGACAGGAAAATGCTCTGAGTTGTGTATTGGTTTTGTAAAATTAATGAGTGATTGAGCTTTTCACCATCCATTTTTCAGGGGATTGCGGAGGATTTGAAGCTAAATGGAAGCAATTTACTTGTTAATGACAGAAATAAATACAAGTCAATGTTGGTTCGTGCCTATTCATCTGTCTGGATGATTGGAGGGTTTGCATTAGTAATATACCTTGGACATCTATATATTATGGCTATGGTGGTTGTAATCCAAATCTTTATGGCTCGAGAACTCTTCCATCTACTCAGGAGGACCCATGAAGATAGGCAGCTCCCAGGATTCCGGTCATTAAACTGGTACTATATGTATCTGTTTTTTATTAAGAAGGATTTGTTTTTACCAATGAGAGTTTATGATTTTCAATTAAATGCCACAGTTAATATTCTTCCATCAAACTCTATTGCAGTTATTGAATAGTTAAAGTTATTATATCATTCCCAAACTCTATGTAGGTACTTCTTCTTCACTGCAATGTTTTTTGTTTATGGCCGCCTTCTCAGTCAACGGCTTGTCAATACTGTAACAACAGATAAAGTTCTGTATCAGCTTGTCAGCTACCTCGTCAAGTATCATATGGCCATTTGTTATTTCTTGTATATTGCAGGTAGATCCTAGCATTATGCTTAGTGAGTTGACTCCTTAACCTTGATAGGAAGATGGCTGTAACTTCAGCTATGAGAATTAATCTCTCCCTCCTTTTTATAACTTGGATTATGTTTAATTGGCATTTAATGTTTGCTCAGTTCTTCTATTTTGACTGATAATAAAGTTAAGTTGTTCTTTCACGAGTGTTGTTGAAGTAACTTTGTTTGTTGCCTTGATCAGGTTTTATGTGGTTCATTCTTACTTTAAAAAAGAAAATGTACAAATATCAGTTTGGCCAGTATGCGTGGACACACATGATCTTGATAGTTGTGTTTACACAGTCTTCATTCACTGTTGCTAACATCTTCGAAGGAATCTTCTGGTAATTTAAATTGCATTTAGATTGTCCATTGATCTACTTCATTCAGTTCTCCATTTTCTCCTTATGGTAAAATTGTCCTTGTTTTGATTTCTTTTGGGACTTTTGCTTAGCTAATTGTTGCGTGATTGCATCTCAATTGTTGACACCAGGGTGTAAGTAGCATGAGGGATCTTTCGTTTGGTTTCTTATGCAACTCTATTTTTATAATCTTCTCTATACTATGGTAGTTATATCAATACATTTCTTATAGTAGAGACCTCGGGATACTAGGGTACATATAAAAATATTTAAAGGAAAATTATCTCATCTATGGCGTATGCAGAAAGTATACCCAACATGGAAATTACCACAAGCATCAGTTTCATTAGCTTTGCTTTCATACGTTGAATTATTTGATTCAAGAGAAGGATTTGTAGAATTATCAGTTCATTGGATCACATTATTGATCAACTTAAGCATATTTTCTTGGTCTTCCCTTGGGGGTAACCCGAGAAGTGTTCATTTTCAGAACTTGGTGGTGGAAAAAATCCAGAAACGGCTAGGAAAAATGCCTTCTTTTTTTTTTTTTTTTTTGAAGGAGAGAGACTTACTTTGATTCAATTGAGTAGGAGCTTGATCTACTTTTTTCCCTTGTTTATAATGGCTATCTTTGTCAGTAAGAGCATTGAATGTTTAATGAGGAGACTCTTGTGGGAAGGGGTGGATGAGGGTGGCGCCCCTTTTGATCAAGTGAGTGGTTGTTTTGGGAAAGAGGGTTTTTTATTTTTTATTTTTTATTTTTATGGAAAACCAGAGTGTATGTGCTTTGTTGTTGGGTATTTGGGTGAGAGAAATAATAGAAATTTTAGAGTGTTGGAGAGGGAGGCCGTTCATGTTTGGTCCCTTGCAAGATTTAATGTCTCTTTTTGGGTGTTGGTATTGAATCTTTTTCGTAATTATTTGCTAGGTCTTATTTTTCTTGATTGAAGTCTCTTTCTTTAAGATGCTCCTTTTTGTGGTTTTCTTATATACCCTTGTACTCTTCCATTTTTTTCTCAATGAAAATTGTTTTTTTTTTTTTTAAATTTATTTATTATTTTTTTTATAAAAAATGAAAAGTTAGAGGTTGTTCCTTTTGATAAACTGTAAGAGTTTGTGAATAGGGTTTTATGTCATCAAGTTCCATCTATCTTAATAGTTAATATTTACTGTTCTTTACTTGAATACAAGTTTTAAATCTTTGGTTATATTCCTTTTGATGTTTTGTTGGATTTTTTTTAGATATGTTTTTTGAAAGATTGCCAAATGCATGCGCAGGTTTCTTCTTCCAGCAACACTCATTGTAATAAATGATATTGCTGCATACTTCTTTGGATTTTTCTTTGGAAAAACCCCGTTGATCAAAATATCTCCAAAGAAAACTTGGGAGGGATTCATAGGAGCCTCTGTGACAACTATTATCTCGGCATTTATGGTGATGATAATTTAGAATCTCTTTTCTTGCTATTTCTAATGTTGTGCATCTTTGGAGTATATCTAATGACTGTTTCTTCTTTGTGAACATGACCAACTTTGGCAAAATTTGTACCTTGTCTTTGCCTATCTATTATACAATGGTCTTCAATGTGCTTGAGATGTTGTATTGTTTTGAATTTTTTTTAATTTTTTTTATGAGATGATTTGAAACATTGTTTTTCAAGTAAAAAGTTGTTGAACTTGACTCCTAATCTCTATTGTAAGTTTAATGCACTTAAATTAATTTAATTCTCTACTTACTGTGCAACACTCTCAAGGAAATAACGTATGGTAATATTCTAGTTTATATTGAGAATAACTAGGACGCTATGGGCAATACATTTCTTACTAATCCCCCATCAGTGTCTCTCAACAGTCCTTGATAACATGATATCGATAAATCTAGCTTCCATCTTCTGAAATGCATTAGGTGATGCCATGCATACTTTTCCCTTTTATTTAATGATTGGATAGAGATATTTTTCTTCTTCGTAGGAGGAGGATGTTAAGATGGCAATATAAACGTCTTGAAGTTTATTTTGGCCATCAAACTTGGGCAAGGCCTAGAGGATAATGGCATTGGTTGGATATCTTGTGTGTGTGTATTGGATAGGAAACAATTTCATTGATGGTATAGGATTAAAGCAAGCAAGGTCCTCATCCTCAAGCACATTGGGCTGGGTTAAAGGCACATACAGAAACATGTGGAAAGAAATTGCAAATGAGTTCCCTTGTTTTCTAACCTTGCTAATTGCGTTGTGGGTGATGGGCAGAATACGTACTTTTGAGAAGAATTGGTGGGTGGAGGTTCAACGCCTTTTCTTTACGTTTCCCTGTTTAGATGATTTGTTCTCAATGAAAAACTGCTTTATGGCTGATGTCATGAATCATTCTAGAAGCTCTCCCTCTCTTTCACTCGATTTCCATCACTCGTTATACAATAGGGTGATAAATGTCTCAACTCTCCTATCTTTGATCAGGGAGTTTTAGTTGGTTTAGGCAGGGGAGAAGGGNTTTTCATTTTTGTACTCCTAAGCCTACTGGTGTTTTTTTTTTTTTTTTTTTTTTTTTTTTTGTAGCTTGTTCTTTTGGGGCTTATTGAACTTTTCTCCCTCTAGTGATATTGTCTTTGCTTGACAAGTTATCCATGGAAGAGTGAACACTCTTGATCGGCTCTTGAGAAAGATGCTTTCTTTGGTGGGTGAAGTTCCTAAGAAGGTTGATGCCTTGGTTGACAAGTTATCCATGGAAGATTGCACACTGTTGATCGGTTTCTGAGAAAGATGCTTTCTTTGGTGGTCCGTTTTGTTGCTTTCTTTGTGGGGGCAGAGGAAGACTTGGATCATATCCTTTGGAGTTATTCATTTGCTCATGCAGTTGGAACTACTTTTTTGATGTGTTAGATTGCAGCTAGTATGTGTCTGGAACCACTTTTTTTATATATTTTTTTTAATTTTTTTATGTGTTTGGATTCCAGCTAGCCTGACGCATGTACTACTGGGAGATGATTGAAGTGTTCCCTCTCCTCCCCCCTTATTGGAAGAGGGTATGTTCTTGTGGCATGATGGAGTTTGTGTTCTTTTGTGGTTTCTTTGGGAAGAGGAACAATGATACCTTTAGAGGAGTGTGAGGGACTCTTTGACATTTGGTCCCTCATTAGGTTCAATATTTCTCTTTGGATGACGGTCATTTCTTTTTTTTTTTTTTTTTTTTTTTTTTTT